AAAATGTTTTGAGAAACGATGTACAAATGCGCTTTACACAATTGATGTGTGTATGGATTGGGATAACAGTTGTATGAGCCCCTATTAAAATGTTTAAAAAAAACAAAAACAAAACAAAACAAAAAGACTGGTAAAAGAGGCTACCACAAGGCTGACGTTTAAAGACATCTCACCACCCAGGATTACCAGGCGGAAAAGAAGTCAGGACATAGAAAGTAAGCAGCCAGGAACACAAATGAGCTGAGTGGGGAGAGTGGCTCCCTGGAAAAGGCACTTACAGTCTGTCCCTTGGGAGATCCTTCCTCAGTCAGCCTCTCGAACATCTGTTTAGCTGCTGGGATATTCTGTGTCAGGTGATCGCCAAACAAAAGAGCATAGGATACGCGCTCCAGGGCCTTGGTGTGGTTCATGCTTGCTGCCTTTTGAAGATACCGAAATGCTCTTCAAATGTATTACAGAAGAAAAAAAAAATCAATGTTTTGGGACTGCATTAATTTTTTTCAAGATCTACTAACTTTTGGCCTACATTATTTCCTTCTGGTATAGAATCCCTCTGACATTTTAAGTCCACTAAGTCACATTATACATACAGAAAACACCATGACTACTTTTTTTAAATGGGAGGTACTAGTTCTCTCGTTATCATGATATCCTCGAATAATTTATGAGTATTTCACGAATAGTAATTCTACAGCTTCTACAAGAGATTAACTAAAATTTAAACTAGAGAATTGCATGTAACGATGCTACCAGGGTTCCTTTATAGTAAAATGATAATGTCTAGTCGCGCAGTAGAAACCTAGCTTAGAATTTGAAAGGTAAGGAAGTATGCTTACATAACAAATACAGCTTTGCAAACCCTATGGAGCAGTTTTACGCTGTCCTAGAGTGTTGTCCTGGTGTCAGAGTTATTACTGTTGGGCTATGATCTGAGAGGTCAGCAGTTTGAAACCACCAGCGGTTTCCTGGGAGAAAATCGGGGCCTTCTACTCCCATAGTTACAGTCACGGAAGGAAACTCACAGGGGCAGTTCTAGCCTGTCCGACAGGGTCACCGTGAGGTGGCACAGACTCGGTGGCAATGAGTTTTATAGTGTTGTTATGAGTTAGGAATCAACTAGAAGGCAATGGGTATGGTTTGATTTTTAGTTTACTAAACAATCCAACAGATAACGGCTGTTAATTCCTCCCACCCCCCACCAAAATCTTTCTATGAATGATATAACAAATCAGTTGAAATCACCTGAACATAAAATCTTAGAAAGCACAGTCACTTGCTTTACATATTTTGCAAATGCCAATTCCTAAATCCCAGTCTTTGCCTGGAAGAAGATCACAAAGCACATTTAAACAATTCGTTTGGTAGGTCTTATTTGAATTCTGAACAGCATATATAGTCTTGGTTCTTGGAAACTTTAGTCAATTATTCCCATTTTGAAGACTGTTCATTTTTGAGATGGGCATTTATAAACGTTTTGTACCAAACAAGCCAAAAGCTGGATACTTTCTTGTAAGGTCATGAAATGTAGGGGTGCCTTTAGTCGTACACTTTGAAAGAGTAACGTGCTCAGCAATGCTGCTCAGGCACAGCCTATCTTGGGCAAAGACGGGCTTGGCAATGCTACCTACTCTCGTTTCTGGTTTTTCTTATTGCTTCCATTGAGGATTTTCATGCCAGTCTGGTACATCACTTCTGCTTCCCGCATCTGCCGTCTTTTAGCAGCTGCTTCTTCGGCTAAAAAGAAAACGTCCATACATACATTTAAAGACACATGGTTTATGAGTTGGCTGTTACCTAAGACTTTAAAAGAAAAAAAAAATCCCAAACTAAATGAAATCTTTCTCTTATAGGAAGTCAGGGTGAATGCTTTTTGAAGGGTACTTTTGCTCCTCGCAATTCTAAAACCATGCACATCATTCAACTGAAATTTTACTAGGAGCTTTTGATGGCACAGCAAGGTGAGCTTCAAGCAGAAGGCCATTGGAGGCTTGCATCACACTGCATTTATCATGGTCAGATTGCATTTTCTTATAAGGAGATAGTTTTCATGATTACTTATATAATATAAATAGCAAAAATGGCCCTTGAAAATGAAATATAGATACTGATTTAATGTTAAATTTCATTAATTTTTTTCTATTCACTGAAACAGCACTAAAAAAAGAAAATCACATAACTATTTATATATGTTTTGAAAAGTGTTTTGCCGTAATGAAGTTGAACAGAAATCTAGAACTCTTCAAGTTGAGCACTTCACTTCTTGACCAATAGAAGTAGTGGTAAATTCTTATGATATAAAAACACAAAATCTGATGTATGATACTTGAGTGCCCTTCATATCGACTGAACTACATACAAAGATGGGCTACATTCGCTGTTATTTGGGGGGAATGTCAAACTATTCTATCAGAGCATTATTTTCAAAATGCTATTTTTAATCAGAGGGGCATATTTAGGATCTCCCGCTGTTATTTTATAGGTAGAATGTTCTTAAAAACACAGCCTGCCTGTAGAGGCCAGCCCCTTTTATACTGACATTAACATTTAAGCTGATTAAATGTACTAAACTTGTTAAATGTTCCTTTACCATAGCCTATTTTACTCAAAGTATTTTTTAATTAAAATTTTTTAGACAGATGAACATACATTTGGTGTGAGATGAACGCAAGAGACACCTGGGATTTGACTGATCCTTACAGTCAGGGACCTCCCAGGATGGCGGAATTCTCCCACAAGGAGGCAGCCTAGGACCCTCTCTGTTTGGGTCCAACAAATGAGTCATTCTTGACATTTCCCTGGGCTGTGGCTATAAGGAATATAGGTCAGCATTCCAGTCAATTTGTGTCACCCTGCGAATGTGGTTTGCTAACCAGCCTTCTCCCTGGCAGTTCCTTCCTCTGGAAAGAGAGCCTGCAGTAAATGAGGCAAAAAGCCAAATGGCTGGTGTACACCTCCATGGAAGAGCCAGGCCTAGCCTCGGTTGCTTATCCATGGCAGACTGGAATTTACGAGTTAGAATTTGGGGTGCAGATTTGGAAAGGGTCAGCACCAAGGGCTTCAAGTTCAAAGTATTGTTAAAAAAATAATTATTTTCCTTTAAATCACAACAACATTAATCAGTTTAATAGGCAGCCTGAAGGGTTTATGGGACAATCTGTGCATACCAACTAAAAATTATGTTGAAATGTGTATGACAAGTTGTCTGAGTCCTGGAAAATTAGCACCTTGTTTGCTTTCTAAGTCCATTAGTTAAGCCTATAACCCTTATTATCAACACTGACCAGTTTTGACCAAAGTAGAAAAGGATTGCTAGACAAAGGTTTTTAAATTGTTGGCCTGAACAAAAACCAATGCGGACACACCTCCTTACAAGTAATACTTACTTTCACAAAAGCCCCACTTTTCATCTGCTTTGTAATCATAGGTTGTAGCACACCACAGTCTGCCATCTTCCCTTCCATCTGACGTACAGTCTTCATATTCCTTCTCCAGAAAGAGAAAGGGGAAGTGGCAGGGCTCCCCATGTGCCGTGCCTTCAATGGCAGTCAAAACTGGAAAGAAACCAGAAGACTAACGTGAAAAGTACACCAGTACGCATGCACTAATAGTCCATTGTAACTGTGAGCATTTGAAGACGAAGCTGTAGGAGGAATGGTTTACAATGTCAAGCATAAAGCACCTGGTCCAAATTCTGATTAGGAATGACCTGAGGTTGAGACACCTGTTGAGCAGGTTGAGCTGACTAGCCTACTGAAACATAGCTTAGAATTTCCAAAGGTGTCAAGATACAATCTTAGGGATGTTAAAAGTCGATTGTGTAACTCTTATCCAACAAGTGAGCAAAACAAGAGGGCAAAATGCAACTGGATCAATTCTACTGCTCAAAACAACTCTCCCTATTTATATATGGATGTTGTAAATTATTCATTAATGCAAAGTTATGTATGGAAAATGTTCCCCCAGGCAAAGTTAATTGCTTGTGTACTTCTCTGTGATCCCACAGTATTTTCAATATTTATCTCTTATGTACTGAGGTTACTTCTTTATGATACTCTAGTTCCCACAAGACTTTGGGATTTTTAAGGGTAAAGACTATCTCTATTTTTAAGTTCTTTCCAAGTATCTGCTAAGTGCAGGGAACCATGCCAGGTGCTGGAGATGAGGTGGAGTAGATGTTTCAGCTACTCAGAACTTAGAGCCTGCATGGAAGAAAGAAAATAAATGGGAGCATCTGCTAGGAACCAAGGTTTAATGGGGACACCTCAAAGATTATAGTCACTGGGTTACAAATATCCAACTACAACCTGTAGTTATGAATCAGACCCCATGTAACAGTTGACTAAGAGACAGACTTAGGGGCACAACTCATTCACAACCCCAAGACTGCTTGTTTTTGATTTTTCCCCCAATAACAGAAATGCTTGCTTTAAAAATAACTTAATCATAGGAATTCTAGTTTACCCAAACTTATACATTCTAAGTGTTTCAAAGATATGAGAGATTGCAAGTGATGGAACTGTACAGCAGAAAAGAAACTTAAAAGAACCAAATGGCTTTTTGACAACAAAAGGTTAACTATCGGATTCAGCATAATCTAAACAGGAAGAACCAAGAATCCCCAGTATGTAATACCTGTTCCATCAATTGTGTGAAAACGGAAACTTGTTAAAAAGTGTTCAATAAGTTATTAGAAAGAAAATATTTATTTCTGTGATATCTTGTCAAACATACATCAAATGAAGAAACTGTTATTATCCTCTAAGTGTATTTTAAAGTCTTCCAAAAGTTACGGTGGGGATTTCTTAGTTCCAAGTCAACTGACATACAATTTTCACAGTATGTGTTACTTTCAGTTAATTTTCTTCCCATGGAGAAATTCTGAAAGAATTTCAAACTGTCATTTTTAAAACCTCCTCAAAACCAAGTATTTTAAAAACAAGAGTAATCACTATTCTGGTATAAAAGAATTTCGGGTTATGCAATTTAAGTTAATGAGCATCTGTAATCAAATATGATATTTAAAATGAAAGAAGAAAACTCAATAAATCCTTTTAAAATCTGTGTAAGAAATTCACGTTTTATAGATAAGGAATCATGCTTTAACTCTACAGTAAGGACATAGTATGACAATGTACATATGCAGACCTTGGGAGTACTCTGCTTAATTCACGGAACATGAGAACTTGGAATAAGAAGCAGATTCCTTTTTATTTAAATTAGTAAAAAATCTGCTCTTGTGAAGTCAATAAAACCATCCAAGAAAGCTAGAAAAGGTTGGAAAACAAGGACAAACCTTAACTATTGAGTAAATGGGTACTTTCATAGTGTTGGTCAGGAGTAAAAACTCAAGCTAGTGGGTTACGATTGGGCTGCTAACTGCAAGATCAGCAGTTCAAAACTGTCAGGTGCTCCTTGTGAGAAAGAAGAGGCTTTCTGCTCCCATAAAGATTTATAGTCTCAGAAGCCCACAGAGGCACTTCTACTCTGTCCTATAGGTTTTCTATGGGTCGGAACCTGTTCTCATGGCAATGAGTGTTTTCGGACTTATTAGAATTTTAAGAAGGCTTTTAGAAAAAAGATATGCCTCGAGGCTCTTTTTAAAAAAAAAAACTTTTTAGAATGTTTACAGAAATGTCCTCACAAGGACCCACATATACATCCAAGAGAAAAACTGGTGCAGTATCATAACCTAATAACAAATAACAAAATAAAAAACTCAAAGGTCTAGCAACAGAATTTAAACTAATTATAATGCAGACACAAATGGAACCTGGGCACTCTCAACACAGATGGGATGGGATTAAAGAACACTGCAAGTTAGCAACAAGAAACCCTGTTGCCACCGTGGTTGAACTCCAATGTCAGTATTTTGACCCCGGCAGCCTCTCTGGGAGAGAAAGAAATGTCAGTTCATAAAGACTCCAGCCTTGGCTTTCAGAAAGAATAGTGCCTGGGGTCTTAGAGGTTTGTTTTTAAAACAAGTAGCCATCTAAGTGAGGAAGAAGTACACCAGCCTGAATGAGCCAAGGATTATAAATAATGAAATCCAAATCTGAAGGAGGGAAAAGTATCAGAGATTAAATTCTGAATACCCTGTTTGTAGAAGGCAACAGATCAGAGTGGAAACCCCATATCCATTTGCAGGATCCCTGAGGATTAAGCCCTTTACCATAGTCCAGAGACGTGAACAGCCTTGCTGTCAGTCAGAGAGCCCTGTAAAGTCAATTATGGCAGACACAGTTAAAAGTTAACACCTTATCATTTGATCTTCCCTTTGACACATTTTAAATTTGTCCCAGTTTTTAGTATTTTCTGATTTCTTTTTGATTGAGGTTTTTATTTTGCCTGTGTTGTTAATTTTTTTCCTCTTCTTGATTTTGTTTTATATATTTCTTTCAGTGTGTGAAATCCAGGAAAGGTAAATCTATAGGATCAGTAACAGGAACAATAATTACTTAGGGACATAGCAGAGGAGGCTGGAGGGAAATAGGGGCCTAACAATGAGTACGAGAAAGAAGAAAATGTTTTATAATTATTGTAGTGATGATTGCTCAACTCTTAAAAATTAACTAAAAAATTAAATAACAAAAAGATTCCAGCCGTGGACACTGTATGGAGAGTTTTGCTATAAAGGGAATAGAGGGGCAGCTGGAGGAGGACCTAGGACCAGAAGATCTTGCTTTTAACATAGAACTTATTATGGAATGGTATAGTATGTTGGTGAAGTAACACCTGACGGATACGCGTGCACACACACAGGACCGCTTACGCAAGCCTGTGCGAAGCAAACGCTAAGTGAAGACGGTGTGGATGTTGTCATAGGCACTACTTTGAACGATGGGAATACAAACTCATTGTTTCCTCATTTTTAACTGTAAGATGGTATGAAAACAAAAGCCCAAAATGTTAGCTTTTTAATGCACATAGACAAAGGAAAGGGACGTACTTTTGTAAATGTCTTACTTGAAGAGCTTTTACAGGTAGCTCTGGCGTCATGATAGTTAAGTGCGCTGCTGCGGACCGAGAGGCTCACCACCCAAGCCGTGGCTTTGAAGGCCGGGTAATAATATGCTCCCATAAAGATTTCAGCCTGGAAAGCTTATGGGGCCAGTCTGAGCTGTTCAAAAACGGTTGATTTGACTCAGAACAGACTCGATGACACACACCACCACCAGGATCACCAACAGTAACGAGAGCTTTGCAGGGCCACTGAGGACCAACACTGTGAGGTTAGATAGTGTTCTGTTCCTAAGAAAATGAAAATTATTCCTGCTGCTTGTCAGAAGCAATTCTGTAGTTCCAAGCACACAGCAGAAGATAGCTTCCAACCTTCTATTTGTCAAATGTAGTTGAGATGATTATTTGGTGTCAAAACTATTAACCTCAAGACAACTTTCATAAATTGTAGTAAATGCTAAGATAAAAATTCAATTAGTTGGGAGGGTGGAGGGAAGGAGAGGGAGAAAGGGGGAACAGAGGACAAGGTCTAAATGTGGCCTCCTCCCTGGGGGATGGACAGCGGAGAAGTGGGTGAGGGAGGCGTGGGATGGGGTAAGATATGATAAAATAATAATAAATTATAAATTATTGGGGGTTCAGGGGGAGGGGAAGGGAGGGGAAAAATGAGCTGACACCAGGGGCTCAAGTGGAAAGTGGGTGTCATAAGAATGATGAAGTCAACATATGTACTAAAGTGCTGGACACAGATGACGTATGTACAGATTGTGATGAGTTGTATGAGCCCCTAATAAAATGATTATTAAAAAAAAAATTCAATTAGTCAATCATCACCAAAAACAAAAACAAGTTACAAAACAAGAATAAAGCACCAACTGGACATAAATACACATAAATGGTATAGGCCAGATAAAGAGGTATTTAATATTGGTTGGAAAACAGTCTATATACAGAGACAGATTTCGTCAAAGGCTAGCCAGATTCAGAAACAACTCACGAACACGCAAACAACTTCTTACTAAGGCATGCATTGCTTCATGAACAAAAATGAGTTTTGTCAGGAGAAAAAGGAAAGAGAGTAGAGAAAATTCATACAAAATGCTGTTAGAAATAACCATTTCCAGATGAAACAGAAGCAAGCACTGACCCAAGGTGACAGGGTTCATGAGATTCAGATGACAGTCACGGTAAAAAAAGCAGAACAAAATTTGCTTGGAATAAGTGCTGTTTAAAAGAACAGTAAGTCTCTGCATTTCTATAAACAATTGCTTTAAGAGACTATATTTAGGGCACAAACTACATGCCCAAACATGAAGTACAGACATGACGACAGTAAGAAAGACAGCTCTGCCACAGCAAACCCATTTCAGAAGTGAATTTTGGCCCCACTCACCCATACATCACAGCATTTGGTTCATATCTGTTCTTTCTACCCATTTACTTTCGTGGCCCACTTCATAAAAACGGCCAGACATTATTTTTGAACATCGTCTATGACAGAGGTAAAAGCCAAGATCAAGAAGTCTTTGTTTTCTTGGATTGACTTTGGCTGTCCCCTGGTAATCCGAAAATAGACACAAGCTGTGTGATTATT